AAAAACTACTTCCAAAAACATTCAGCTTTGATATTAATGAGTTTTTTGGGTTCATTGAGAACATGGTTGTTGTTCAATAATAAAATTATTCCTCAGAAATACAATTTGCCTAATAATTCTGCACTCCCTGTAAAGACAGTCGTGCCAACCAAACCTCTGTAGAAAACCATTTCCAGGGATGAATTGGTTAGCAAACACTGAGCACGTAGAAACCAGAAAAGGGCTGCAGGGTCTTCATTAAGCTTTGCCCAGGCGATGAACACAGGTGATAATTATGCCTTCTGTATGTTTTATAGCTTCAATCTTGGCTGTCAAGGTGATCGGCAGCCCCGCCCACTGCCTATCATTGGCTGCTGACGGTTCACTGAGGAGGTGGAGCCTGATGAATGGCCAGCAGCTCTTCTGCATCGAGGAGGCAGTGCCTATAGACTCCACCCCTTCATCGGTGCACCTCCACTTATCTGAGCAGCTGCTCTTCGTTTACACCAGGACACAGGTACCGCCTCCGCGCCAAGCTTCGTTCACGCACTGCCGAATGTCTCTCGTCACATCTGATCCCGTTTCTGCTCTTGCTTCAGGTGAAGGTGTGGCAGCTGGATGGGGCGGAGCTCCACCTGAACAGCAGCGACGATGAGGTCTGGTTGGTTCTCGGGGTTCTTGGAGAATCGGTGGTCTATCTGTCCAACTCCGGTCGGGTCAGGATCTCGCACCCAGTTTACGGGACTCAGTTAACGGTGAAAACTCCGCAGGAAAACTCAGTGAGGCACCGGACTGTCGTAACCACGTTGATGCTCCCCAAACGTGAGAAAGTGTTTGTTGTGTATAAAGGAGGATTCCTCCACCAGGTGTGTGTCTCTCTCTCTCTCACACACACACACACCTGAAATAATTATCATAGTATGAAATTAAAACATTAAAAATCAAGATTAATGATCAAAAATTATACGATTTTTAAGGGTTTAAATATGTACGCCTATAAATATGTGACTATATTAATACATTTCTGAAAATGCAATTAAACAAGCCACAATAATTATAGTTATCCAATAAAATACATAATACAAAAAGAAAATGTAAATTTATTATATCACAATTAAAAAGGTTGTGTTTGTACAGCTTAGGTAAATGTGGTGTAAGAATTTAAAATATTTTGAGTGGCGCTCTCAGGTCTGCAGCTGAATTCACTCTGAAAAGCTTTTTTTTCCTTTTACTTTCCACAATGACGACGATGATGCCGTTTTATCGTGCAGATTTCCAGGACAGGCAAACAGACTGTTGGCGAGTTTCCTCTGCTTCCTTCCTTCTTCTCAGTCACTGAAGATGAAAAAACCCTGTTAGCAGGTAGGCCTGAGCGCTGAGCGCTGTGCTTCGGACCTGCACAGAAGCATCCTGACTCTTTGTGTCGTCCGCAGCCAGCGAGTGCACTCTGAGCCTCTTCAGCATCCTCGGCGACTCTCTGGACCGATTCCTTGACCTCCAGCACGACGATGACATTTTATCCGCCTGTGTCTCCTCAGACGGCAGGCGGCTCGTGTCTGGAGCTGCAGACCAACTTGTACGAGTAAGAAACCAGCAGGAAGCACGATCCGATTCACTCAGTTCAAAACACTGAAGACATTGGGCATTTTATAAAGATGACTGAAGCCACAGAGTGTCTCACTGTAATTACAGCTCATTTTATTCTGAAAGGACTGTTATTCTCTCACAGGTGTGGTCGGTGACCACGGGGGCGCTGTTGGACTCTCTGTGTGGGGCGGACGCCCCTGTCACCTGTGTGCTTCTCTTTAATGACTTTGTGGTTTCGGCCTCGACGGCCACCTCTTCCATCCTGCTGTGGAACCTGAAGTACGACGCCAGCACCAAACCTGCCATCCGCATTCCTGCAGACTCCGCCCACATTGCCCTCACCAAAGACGGCGATCAGGTTTTCTATGTTCACCAGCAGAGCCACACCGAGGTCATGAGCTGGAACAGCCACACAGGTCAGAGGTGAAAGGTGGCGGCTACTTACAGAAAATTAGAAAACATTAGAATAAACATTAGAATGATTGATGTCACGCCCCCTGAGGTCTATGCTGGTTCCCCCTGCAGGTTCTGTGTGCGAGCGTTTGCCCGTCTCCTCCGAGGTGTCCTGTCTGGAGCTGGCTCAGAACAAACGTCTCCTCCTCTGCGGCCTGACGAGTGGCACCGTCCTCATCTACCCGTTAGCCCTGCCTCAGGAGACGCTTTGCATTCCCCCCCCGGAGAGCCTGTGCAGGGTCCTCTGCCTCACCGCCGGCACCAAGGAGAAGCACCTGGCGGTGGCCTACGAGGACTCGGTGTGCCTGTTCGAGATCACTTCCAGGGACAACTTTCCCACGGTGGAGGGGCCTCTGGAGAAGTTTGCACTGCCCCTTCTCCACGCCCCGCTGTCCGCCATGGCCCTGCTTCCCGACCGCAGGCTGCTGTATGGCACGAGCTGTGGGGAGGTGAAGCTGTGGGACTTCAGCAGGGGTGGCGACGTCTCCGACTTGGAGCCTCACCGCAGTGGAGTGACCTGTGTGACGGTCAGTAACCGGGGGGCTCATGCTCTGGTGGGCTCCGAGGACACTGTGCAGAGGCTGTGGGCCCTGAACCCGCTGGCCCTGGACCACACCATGGAGTACAAGGTGAGAGGTCAAAGGAACGCTCTGCGAGTATGAGCATGGATGACTTGTGCCAATGTCACTGTCGGGCCTTTGGTCCGTCTCTTCTTCTGTCGTCTCATTTTTAGGGCTTTCTCTTTGAGGGCGTCCTCTCTGCTGCGTTCTCTGAAACAGACCGCTTCGTCTTCACCGGGTCTCAGGACCGAACCATCAAAGTCTGGGACGTTGCATCAGGTATGCATGTTTGTGTTCGGCTGCAGAGTTAGAGATTTTAGGGCTAAAAAAGGCAAAAATCTGGGATACAGACAAGCACTGAAGCGTGCACCAGCAGTTTTGCAGCTGGACCACTCCCAGGTCTGAGCCGTCCTGGTTGCAACTCTCTAGAGTTCAGTCAGCTGCAAACAAAAGATTCTCCAACAGTTTGGCCTTTGGGATTTTATAAACAGTTCTATCATTCCAGCCACTGAGCTTTATTCATTTCTCCCGTCAGGAAACCTGCTCTTCGTTCAGTACGTCTACTCCCCCGTTGTCCGAATGGTGACCTTCAGGGACGGCTTTGTGGCCATAACCCGGCAGGGCGCCATCATCAGAGAGCTGTTTCGGTGTCCAGACCACATTGGGCCCGACTACAACCCTGTGAGGAGTTTCAGGGCCCAGTACCGGGTCACCTCTAGGGAGAAGGACCGGGAAGGACCGCAGACCTCCGTATCCAACCTGCAGGACTTTAACCCCACGCAGTTAAACCTGAACCTCGTGGGCATGTTCAAAGCCAAACCCTCCTCTGCATGCGTCATGCTGTAGGACAGCAGGGCCCAAGTCACGGCTCCCGGACCTTCACTGGCCGTTCAAGGAGGGGAAAAATTGTTATTTACCAATATTTGATCATTATATTTAATAAACATGTAATCAGTACAGCACACGCTTGTTCTCCTGTGCATTACTGCAAACATTCAGTTTCTCTGAAGCTGATTATAGTGTTGAAAACACAGTGAGTGAATCCTTTCTTTACACATTGAAGATTTAAAAGCTTCATGTTTTTGTGATGCTGAGCCGTCTGCAGCAGGACTGACAGTTTCATATAAAAATTCAACTTTTCTGAAGGATTTTCATTTAAAATATGCAAATATTGATTATTTGATAATTCAGTTTGGTTCTTTCTGGTTTAACTCCTTGTACAGTTTCCTCGTAAGAGACCAGAAACTTCCTGCTTCTTTCTAAAGAATCCAAATCAGACACAACCACTGTCATCATTATTATCTTGGTACACAAAGCTGTAAACTAATGCATACAGAGAAAATATCTTTACTGCTCTTTATTTTTATTCCACGGTAGAGCAGCTGTGCATGAGTCACAATTCAAAATAATCTTTGTTTATCTGATACAGGCCGCTCCCATCACTTTAGGGTCCTCCTTTCTAGAAGTCCACTTTCTACCGATTGGTTAACTTTTGGAAGCCTGCCGAGGGGCCTTGACTGGTGTGCTGTTTGTACTTTGACTGCTCAGTCAGCAGCAGGTTATGTGACTGTAAAACAATGAATATTTTGAGCAGTTTGAAGTTTCTCAAGGTGATTTTTGCTTCATGAACTTGTAATAATGTTATTATGAGCGTGCTGTTTGGAGTAAGCAATGTGTTACTGTTTTAGAGGCTGAAATATGAACGTGTGTCTGTGGCTGTGAATGAGACACTACGCTCCCTCGGGTCAAAGTTAAACTGCTGGTTCCTGTTTATTAATCACCTATGAATGAAGGCCGTGGATTGTTCCAGCATGACGTTGAAGACAGGTGATGGGCTGTCTTCATAAAAGCTCGTCTGTGTTGAGGGTTAAACATTGACAGGCCTGCAGGGAGCTGCTGCTCCCAGATCCTTGTCCTCACTCTGTCTTTAACTCGACTGCAGCAGCTCCGGTTTTCCTCACAGACTCAGCCATGGGGACGCTCTGCGCACTGACTTCCTGTTTACTGCTCGCCGTCGGAACGGTCACTGCTCAGACAGGTACGAACCTTCTCTAAAAATGTGTTGTCAGAAAACTGAAGAATTCCCATTTGCTGTTGGGAATGTCTTGTTTTCCCTGAAACACTCAGTTCATCAGTCATTCACATTAGAAGCTTTCCTGATTGGTCGCATGTTGAACAGAAACGCTGGTTTGTTGTGAACCTGCACGTCTATTTAGCTATTATCAGCTTAATTTTAGTGAGTTTAAAAGGAAATGTTGATGAAGATAAAGAAAGCTAAGGATGCAGCTTTTATGGTTATAAAATGAATTCTCACACCATAAACTCAAAGGTCTGATGTTTTATTAATATCGTGTGTGTGTTTGTCGCTGTGCTTCATTCAAAGTTTTAAATTAATCTCCAATCTACCCCGATCGCAATATCATCCAACACAAAGGCGATTTTTGAATGTTCTGCTAATATCATGTTTAAAAACTGATAACAAACAAGGAAACAACCAAGGACACAAACTAGGAAACAAACAAGGACATATCAGCTGTTAATGACTGTGTAAGGGTCAAGCTATAAAAGCTTAACAGTGTTAATTATCTGACAGCTTCACCAATCACACCATTAAATAATCACTTCACGTACCCAGAGTATACAAGCTCATCGGACACTTTATTAGGTACGCCTGATTAGTAGATTCAACAAGCTGCTGGAAGCAATCCTCAGAGACTTTGGTACATGTTGATGTGACATCATCATGACATTGTTGCACAGCTGCTGCATCCATGGTAAGAATCTCCCGTTTCACCAAATCCCAAAGGTGCTCTGTTGGACTGAGATCTGTGCCTGTGGAAGAAATGACAGGTTTATTTACACTTCTGACAAATCTACTAAAAGTCTGGCTTAAATAACAACGTTTCGTGGATTAAAAAAGTGCTTTTAATTCACTGTAATGACAGTGAAGCGGAACCAGTTTGAAAAAGTGAGGATTGTAGGCGAAGGTTGGAAGTCGACACGATATTTTCTGTGCTGGAAAAGTTCAAAACCATCAGAGCTTCATCTTTTCTCTGACCTTTGACCCCTCTGTGCGTTTGCTTTGCAGAGCCCACTAACACCAACGAGCGGGCACTGCCTCAGTGGCTGACCGGCATCATTGCCGTCTGCGGCTTCCTGTTCCTCGCCTTCGTCGTCATCCTGGCGAAGAAGGCATGGTGTGAAAACCCCAGCAGGTCAGTTGGCCAAATACCGCCGAAGGACCGTTTGAATGTTTCAGTGCAGAAACGTTACATTCTGTGATTGTTCTGTGTCTGCGCAGCAGGACAAGCATTGAAGATGTGAGAGAACGTGACATTATCAGCAGCAACCTGTATGATATGCGCCTCAGCTCCATCAGGTAGGAACAAGACAGGAAACGCTGAAGATGCTTCTGTAACACCAAAGATCCTTGAGACATAAAACTCTGATTGTGAACACGACCGTTTATTCTACTTCTCGTTTTTGTTCTGCACCAGGAGGAAGAGCACCGAGTCAGGGAACGAAAACACCTACGAGACTAATCTGGACGCCTTCAGGTAGAAACACAAAAACCTCCATCAAAACAACCTGAGGGCCGAAGCTTCTTCCCTTAAACACACTCAGTGCTCAAACACAGCCACACAGTCACAGAGCGTCAGAGTCACCATCAGCGCCCTCTGTGGTTAACTTCAACACAAAAACCAGAAACACACGCCTCCAGTACACTTCCAGCTCCTGTGATGCCTTCACAGTGCTTTATACCACAGCCTGCCAAGTCCTCACTCCTCACTTTGTGCCGTGGTCAGAAAGATGAAAATAAAAAGTCGCATGGTGAAGGCACAAATCGTTCTTCCAAATTGAGGTACATTATTATCAAATATGAGTAACTGAGTAAAAACAATAGTTCCCAGCTCAGGTATCCTAACGCTGGAGTCCAACCACATTCACAGCTACTGCTAATAAACTCTGAGAAGCTTTAGATGCACTCTTCACTGAATCTGTCGTTTGTCCATCAGGAGCAAAGATGCACCAAACGCCTTCAACAACCTGGCAGTCGACATCAATGGCAAGACAACCTCCATGTGACTGCCCTGCAGAGAGTCTATTGGCTGTCTCAACAGGGAGTCTGGAGAGACACAAAATTCTTTTTTTGTGCAAATTGTAATTCTTTGTTTTGTGTTTTAAGGTGTGAGGAGTTCACCAGGGCGAAGGAATTTATTTACACTTACTGTATGATTGGCTTTATTTTTCCTCCTGATTGTGAATAATTGAATGTGTGGAATTAATATCAATGATCTGTACTCAGAGTAACGCATCAGCTGCTGTGTTTGTTAAAGGTTCATCGACTGTGCTGACTCTGTGCTCATTAATAAGTTATGTTTTCTAACAAACTGCTGTGTCGGGTCTCTGATTAATCATTCAACACGACAGTAAACACTGAAGAGACTAACAACAGCAGAATCCGGCTTTGGGCGGTGGGGGGTTGAATGAAATTAATAAAAGTCACATGCAGTTCATCTAATGTCCAGCAGAGGCAGCAGTGAGTCAGTCACCATATTAAAACGTCACAGCAGAAATAAAGATTTGTACAGCCTGATGCTGAGGGTGTGGTGTTTTCTTTAATGACACTGAGGATTCCTGTAAAAATGTTGTGTATTGTGTTGTGTTCAAACAAATACTTCCATATTTCTGCTGGTAATTTCTGTGATCTAATTTAATTTTGTCACTACTTTGAACTCATGACCATAGATAAGATTATGAAGATCGATTGACTGGTAAATTGATGCTTCCCAGCTCAGCCCTCTCTTCACCACAGCAGACTGTTACCTCACTGGTAACAGACTGGTGGTCAGTCCTTAAGTGATGGGACTATGGCCCAACTGCCATGTGCCACCACATTTGGGCCTGGCCAGGTCCAATGTGGACCAGGCACCTGATCCCCAGTTACTGAAAGTGGCTTTGAAAACGAAACAATTCAAAAACCAAAAGGTAAACTGAAATGAGCAAAACCAGCCTGAAAAAACTAGCCTGAGATAAAATGAATTGTTCTGAGTAGACTCAGTAACTCACTACTCCAGCGAGTAGTGCGGTGCTCTGAACGGATAATTGGAGGTGAGCTTCCCTCCCTCCAAGACATCTACAGGAAGCGAATCACTTTTATTGTCACATCACATGTGCAGGTACATTGGTACAGCACATGTGAGTGAAATTCTTGTGTGCGAGCTTCACAAGCAACAGAGTTGTGCAAAATACAATAATGTAAACAAGCAAAATACAAGAATGGCTACATCTGAAACTAATAAATATATGTACAATATATAATAGTATATGCATTTCTGGATGTGTATACTAAATATTTTTCTACGTGTGTGTGTGTGTGTGTGTGTGTGTTACACATATTTTACAAATTAAATAGAGTAAACAATAAATAAAATATATAAAAATATACAGAGTGAGACATGTGCAAAACAGTGGCATTACTGTACAGTATGGAGTGCATAATGTTGAAGTTCCAGTAGTGAAGCTGAGGTGTCTATGACGTGTTCAGCAGTCTGATGGCCTGGTGGAAGAAGCTGTCTCTCAGTCTGCTGGTACGGGACCGGATGCTGCAGAACCTCCTTCCTGATGGAAGTAGTCTGAACAGTTTATGGCTGGGGTGACTGGAGTCCTTGATGATCCTCCCCGCTTTCCTCAGGCAGCGCTTCCTGTAGATGTCTTGGAGGGAGGGAAGCTCACCTCCAATTATCCGTTCAGAGCACCGCACTACTCGCTGGAGAGCTTTGCAGTTGTAGGCGGTGCTGTTGCCATACCAGGTGGTGATGCATCCAGTGAGGATGCTCTCAGGCTGGTTTTGCTCATTTCAGTTTACCTTTTGGTTTTTGAATTGTTTCGTTTTCAAAGCCACTTTCAGTAACTGGGGATCAGGTGCCTGGTCCACATTGGACCTGGCCAGGCCCAAATGTGGTGGCACATGGCAGTTGGGCCATAGTCCCATCACTTAAGGACTGACCACCAGTCTGTTACCAGTGAGGTAACAGTCTGCTGTGGTGAAGAGAGGGCTGAGCTGGGAAGCATCAATTTACCAGTCAATCGATCTTCATAATCTTATCTATGGTCATGAGTTCAAAGTAGTGACAAAATTAAATTAGATCACAGAAATTACCAGCAGAAATATGGAAGTATTTGTTTGAACACAACACAATACACAACATTTTTACAGGAATCCTCAGTGTCATTAAAGAAAACACCACACCCTCAGCATCAGGCTGTACAAATCTTTATTTCTGCTGTGACGTTTTAATATGGTGACTGACTCACTGCTGCCTCTGCTGGACATTAGATGAACTGCATGTGACTTTTATTAATTTCATTCAACCCCCCACCGCCCAAAGCCGGATTCTGCTGTTGTTAGTCTCTTCAGTGTTTACTGTCGTGTTGAATGATTAATCAGAGACCCGACACAGCAGTTTGTTAGAAAACATAACTTATTAATGAGCACAGAGTCAGCACAGTCGATGAACCTTTAACAAACACAGCAGCTGATGCGTTACTCTGAGTACAGATCATTGATATTAATTCCACACATTCAATTATTCACAATCAGGAGGAAAAATAAAGCCAATCATACAGTAAGTGTAAATAAATTCCTTCGCCCTGGTGAACTCCTCACACCTTAAAACACAAAACAAAGAATTACAATTTGCACAAAAAAAGAATTTTGTGTCTCTCCAGACTCCCTGTTGAGACAGCCAATAGACTCTCTGCAGGGCAGTCACATGGAGGTTGTCTTGCCATTGATGTCGACTGCCAGGTTGTTGAAGGCGTTTGGTGCATCTTTGCTCCTGATGGACAAACGACAGATTCAGTGAAGAGTGCATCTAAAGCTTCTCAGAGTTTATTAGCAGTAGCTGTGAATGTGGTTGGACTCCAGCGTTAGGATACCTGAGCTGGGAACTATTGTTTTTACTCAGTTACTCATATTTGATAATAATGTACCTCAATTTGGAAGAACGATTTGTGCCTTCACCATGCGACTTTTTATTTTCATCTTTCTGACCACGGCACAAAGTGAGGAGTGAGGACTTGGCAGGCTGTGGTATAAAGCACTGTGAAGGCATCACAGGAGCTGGAAGTGTACTGGAGGCGTGTGTTTCTGGTTTTTGTGTTGAAGTTAACCACAGAGGGCGCTGATGGTGACTCTGACGCTCTGTGACTGTGTGGCTGTGTTTGAGCACTGAGTGTGTTTAAGGGAAGAAGCTTCGGCCCTCAGGTTGTTTTGATGGAGGTTTTTGTGTTTCTACCTGAAGCGTTCCAGAATCGGCTCTGT